TCTATGACAGCAGTTGAGCTGACAGCCTCGGGCTCAGGGAGGCGGCAGGCGACCCCGGGGCTTCGTCACACACGTGACCTTGGCCTCCGAGGTCAGTGCTTTCTTCCCAGGAGGGACTGAGGACAGAAGGCCCGGGGTCAAGTCCCAGCTCCACACCCACCAGCCAGGCGCGGGAGAAACTCACTTCTCGGAGCCTCTCTTCTGGAACAGGGAGTGCAGCGGACGTGCCGGCCGGGTTCTCCTTACTATTTCTTAGAGTCTGTATCTGTTACTGCCAACAACTGCTGCCTGCGCTGGAAAAACCATCACAGAGCCTCAGTGGCATACGAGCCAGCTCTCCCCTGCGCCGGCGGGTCCTACTCTCAGCGAGGCTTGCCCCGGCGACACAGCTCTGCTCCCCGCCTCTCCACCTCCTGCGAGGGGCAAGGCTGGGTGAGCTGCTAGCACCTCATTGGTTAAAACAAGTCACATGACCAGGGGCATGCCGTTATGCTCCGCCCACCGTGGGCGGGGCCACAAAGCTGTGCTGCAAAGGCGTGGATGAAGGAAGAGTCGGACTTGGGCCATGGCCCAGCTGTCAGCGTTCCCTCGGGAACTGCCCCTCCCCAGGCGCGGGGGTTCCGGGGAAGCTAACACCGCCCTTGGCTCTCATTGCCTTTCCGAGGTGCTGGGCCTCAGGCGTTTCTCTATAGAGATTAGCAACCCCTGGGGGGCAACTGAGGACACAGAAGCATCAGACTGAGACCTTGTCGTCATCGGGAAGGACAGAGACCTGAAAAGGGCGTGTGTGTTTTTAAATATATATGTTTATTGATCTCAGAGAGGGAATATTTTTTTTAAAAAGAAAGAAAGTGGGTTAACAAGTTTGAGAAGTAGATTCAGATCCTCCTCCCTCCTTCTTGGAGTGGCACAAATTACCTTCTCACAGTAAAGGCTCTGAAAAGTCCTGCAGGCAAGACACCTTCCACTGTAACGGCATTTCCCTAACTCTGATCGCCTGAGTTTTTGGTTTTTATCTGTTAATCTCTCAAGGAATAAACCGGGCTTCAGGGAATGCTGAGTCCCACCTCTCCCATAAGTCCCTGCTCCTATCTGGGTCCCAGTTTCCCCAGTTGTAACACAAAGACTCCGAATGAGTCCGCAGCAGAGCAAGGACTGGAATCCCACCCTGGCCTGGGCCACCGCATCCTAAATGGTCTTCATACACCTGTCCAACTAGGCCCAGATGAAGGGAAAGGCCCCAGGGAGAGAGAGGGAGCCCTCATTGGAGAAGTTGAATGAATACCCCTATTTTGAAAAAGAAAAGTGAAGTTCAGAGAGGGATGGCAACTTGCCTAAGGGCACACAGCAATTATCCAGAGGGAGAGCTAGGCTGCCTTCTCTCTGGATGAGA